TCAAATATGCGGCCTAAAGCACTCAGGCAAGCGAACCAAATATGATGTTCAGATAGAGCCAAACAATCGCACACGTTCCCTGACCACGCAAAATTCAAATGTGCCGGGCGTCGAATTACCATATGAAGAAAAATGTATGCTGTTTGTGATTGAGAAATGTCAATAGAGAAGCAACACAGAGAGAGTTATATCACCCTGAATCATCATGGGTTTGGGAGGATTTTCAAAAATTCAACATCAAATACACCGGCCGTCAAAATCCTTCCTGTGCTCCTCTGAGTCAAAGGGTTGGCACAGGTCATTGATTCTTGTCTATCTATCTATCTTACCAGTCGCTGCTGTCAGTGCTTCTAATAACGCACTGTTCAAGCTCCGACGAACTTGTCCCTCTTAACGTCCGATGACTTTCACGTTCGTTCTTCGAGTTCTGCCTTCTGCATCAGCACGCTTGACATCGCACGATAATATTATAGCAGTAGGTCAAATGAATATCATTACAGATAAAGTCTCGATGTCAAAACAAGGAGGGGGAAATATGGGCGATGTAATTAATGTTGACGTTTACAAATGAAATCATATTCAGCATGCAGGTGATTGTGTGTATGTGACTGGATGAATGTTATGAGGAAATAGATGACTTGAAGGCACAAATGGCGAAGATGAAGGCCATCACCAAAGGGGTCTTTGCAAGGAGAAGAAGACTGCTGCTGCACAATTGCGCAGAACCGGTGGTAAACGAGGCGAAGGCTAGACGGGAAATGAACCACGGGCATGTAATAAATGCCTTTAGACTTGAAGGGCTGCCACCGAACACAAAATACAGCAAATGCCGCAGGACTGGACTGTGGAAGGGTCCCAAGTCACCTCATTCACGCCCACTGTTGATAGTGTTCCATGGAACTCATAGCAGAGACATGCTTCTGGCAAGAGCAGCTAGACTGGAACTGAGCACTAGGGGCAATTGAGAATCACACCAGATTCTCCCTTTAGTGTCAATACTACCGAACCCAAAGAGGCGTATGAAGCAGCTAACCCAAAACTGAAGGAACCGGTTATACAACTCATCAAAAGAGAAATTTGACCCCTCAGCAGATCTACACCGAAGTCAAAACCTGCTGCCGATGAAGATGGGTCGGTAGCGGGTAGGGTCAAAACTAGTATGAATAGTCCACTGGATACGAGAGTTCCTCCAAAAGTGCTCCAGGATAAGCAACAGATCGCAGTAGTGAGAGGCAAGAATCGAGTACAGCAAGCCTTATCAATACCATATGAGCATAGTTGCAGTAGTGAACAAAGAACTCGGACTAGCTGGGCAACCGTTGTTGCTCGTACGCCGCCTGCAAAAACTGGGAACTACAGGGAGCAGACCCCATCTGGTGAGACTAGGAGGCCGATCGGACGGGATAGTTCGTCACTGGAACTGTCCTTTAAAAATGTCTCCATGACTAGAAACGGTATCCTTTGGCAGGTGCAGGAACCCACAAGAGCAGACAACAGCAAAGCAAAAAGCGTAGAACACCCTCGGGTACTCCGCCCGAGGGTCCGAGCGGGCCAGGTTCAAATAACCCTATCGTGCAGGTCGATGTTACCGATTTGTGGTATATCAATGCTAGCAGCTAAGAAGGGAAATGGGGCGAACTAATGGCGAGAACCCACACAAGCGCCATTACCGGCATCACCGAGAAATGGTTTAGGGAGGGCCAGGCGGTCACTGCTCCCCACAATTATATCCGGTATAGGCAGGACATAATAGACGGTAGGCTCGGTGGTGGGGTACTACTACTGGTAAACACAGAATACTGCCAGTGAGAAGCTCCGTTTACCTTAGCCACACCGACTTAGTTATAACTAGGTACAGAACGGACCTCACTTCTCTTATGTCGGAAGAACCGTTTGGAATAAGTGACCATGGAGTACTGCGACTAAAGTTTGTTGAGAGACACGACAGGCCGAGTGCTAAGCTAGTAAGAAACTACGCCAGGATCAACGAGGAGCAATTAAGGGTAGCCGCTGAGAGCATAAGGTGGTTTCCTATTTCACTTGCACCATCAGTCGAAGAACGATGGGTGGTAATACGAGACGGGTTGCTACGGTTAACGCAAGAGTTTGCTCCCTTAGTGCCTCGCAGATCCAGAAACAGACCGCCTTGGTGGTCGCCTAGAATAGAAAGAGCTCTCATCTCGCGCAGAAGATCCTGGGCGTTCTACAAGCTTCACGGAACGCATAGTTCTTGGGTCAACTACAAGATGGCCAGAAATAAAGCGCAGACAAGGCAGAGGGAAGCTAAGTATGAGCACGAAAAGAAACTAGCTAGAGATATCAAAACAAACCCGAAGAGGTTTTTTGCTTATGTACAGTCCAAGGGAACCACACGTGAAAGTGTTGGAACCTTGGAGATGGCTAACGGTAATATAGCTAGTACAGACAAGGACCGGGCTGAGGCGCTGATGGACTACTTCAAAAGTGTCTATCGTTCATCCCCGGATGATGGAGTTAGGAACCTCATGGTGGATACCATTGAAAATGAAATGCGGGTGGTAATCGTGAGTAAGGAGGAGGTACGAAACGAGCTCACAAGCCTGTGCAAGCATAAGGCGGCGGGTCCGGATGAGATCCACCCAGCTATTGTCCAGCCACTAGCTGAGGTCATACTAGGACCTGTCACTGACTTATTTAAGGCCTCACTGACATCCGGGGTAGTGCCGGAGGACTGGCGGAAGGCAACCGTGGTAGCAATACACAAGACGGGGTCTAGACAGAAGGCGGAAAACTACAGGCCGGTGAGTTTAACGTCAGTGCTGTGCAAGTGCCTCTAACGTATAGTCAGAAAACAAATATGTGCGCACCTCGTGACCCATGGACTGCTATCCCCTGCACAGCACGGGTTTACCAGGAATCAGTCGTGTCTAACTAATCCAATTATGTTTCTCGACGAGACTACACGTCGATTAGATCAGGGTAGGGCATTGGAGGTCTGTTACTTAGACTTCAGCAAGGCTTTTGACTCAGTGAGTCTTACGTTGCTGGACACGAATCTACCAACTTTTGGAATAGTCGGGTCACCGCGTCAGTGGCTGAAGCACTTTCTTAACAATCGTAGCTTCACTGTACGGGTTGGCAGCTACAACTCGCGATCAGTGGAGGTTACTAGCGGAGTGCCCCAAGGCTCTGTTCTTGGGCCCCTTCTTTTCCTTCTATTCATCAACGATCTCACGCTAGAATTGCACAACCCCTGCTTCATCTTTGCAGACGATGCGAAGATAGCAGGTGAGAACTTAACCCAGGACCTAGATGCAGCTCACAGTTAGTCAGTTCTATGGGATTAACCCCTGAATCTTGCCAAGTGTCAGCTACTGACGAACAATGTAGACTCAACCAGGGACGCAGCAATTCGTGGCACGACGGAGGTAAAGGACATAGGAACAATTGTTACAAACGACTTCTGGCCCAAAAGACAATGTCAGGTGGCTGCAAATAAAGCAAGAGGAGTACTCTTCAGGCTGTGGACCACAGTTACATGCAGGAAGCCAGAAGTGTTCGTTCCGCTGTATAATGCCAGTGTGCGTCCGCTACTGGAATAATGTGTGAAAGTCTGGACCCCATACTATTGCAATGATATGTAGTGTCTAGAGAGGGTTCAACGACTGGCAACCAGAATGGTCACTGGACAGATAGGGAAGAGCTACTCGCAGCGTCTGAAGGACCTGAATCTTTTCTCCCTGTCACGCTGAAGGACCAAGGGCGACTTGAAGACTTCTATGTCTTCAAGGTAGTTAAGGGGTTGTCGAGCATAGAACTAAGCAGCCTCTTCATTCCTGCACCAGAGTGCGACACTGGAGGTCATAGCCTTAAGTTGCAAAGAGATCACTCCAGGTTGGAGTTGAGGGCCAAGTTCTTCACAAACCGGGTGGTGCTTTTGTGGAATAGATTGCCGGAAAATGTCGTAAGCGGCTCAACAGTTGTCGCCTTCATAAAGGCCTTGGATCTGTGCTGGGATTTGGTTTTCCCGGAGCTGGCCACTTGAGTGATGATAAAGGAAAAAGGTGAGTCGTTCCTATACTGATGTATTTCATTTTTACATATCTGGTGAATGAGCTACTGGACCTAAATATTCTGCCTTTCAGAAAAATGCGAAACGAACTTTTGACGAGCAGTGTTGGAAGCCAAGGAAACTAGCTGACAACACAACGATTTGGACGCGCGATTGGTCTCGACCACTTCCGTCCTGTGCAAACTGAACTGAACTGAACTGACATGGGTCACACCTTCGAAGTTAATGCCATAAATTGTGTATCAATCTGTTGAAAGGACACTCAGTCACAAAATGAAATAGAGAGGATGTATGACAAGGACGTGGAAGCACGTGTTCATAGAGGTGGGGTGAATGTCACTGGGCGCAACTGGTATAGGGGGCAGGTAAATCAATATAATACACGGCGGGTCTGGGCAACTTCATCAAGTAACGGCAATGTGGTTATCTCCCTCCAATAAACACACTCGTCGAATATCGCGCACCTGTTCACCGGCAGATGTTTTCAATATCACTGTTCTTACTTGTCCGTCTGAGTCCGTGTGGCTTTCTATGACTACACCCAGTGGCCAGTTATCGCGTTGCAGCTTTTCGTCAGCCATAAGGACATCTTCAATCTTCAGTGACTGTTCTCTATGCAACCACTTCTGTCGAGCTTGAAGGATTGGCAGGTACTCCCTTGTCCAACGCTTCCAAAACAACCCGCCAAGTAGTTCGCATGCATCCAACCCGAGATATACCAGACATTAATAATTTTTAGCATATCTAGACCATCATTTGACCTCAATAGCAGAAGGGCACTCGTGGTTAGTGCCAGTCCTTGCAGGTTATCGCTGGTGACGGGTGCAAGCTGTCGGTTTGTGAGTATCCTTTCGGCCTCAAAGTTTCATCGTCCGGCGCCTGTTGTTCACATAATGCTGTCAATGTTTTTCGTGCCGACTGTATGAGCCGTTCCCATCACATAACGCCGTCAATATTTTTCGCACCGACCGTATAAGCCGTTCCCTAACTCCTCCGTCGGTGACTGCTGTAAGGTGGGTTGAAGTGCCATTGGGTTCCAGGTGGCGACAGTCGGTCTTGCAGGGCTCGTTTGTCTAACCGCATCAACCATAGGTGGGTTGAAGTGCCATTGGGTTCCAGATGGCGACAGTCGGTCTTGCAGGGCGCATTTATCTAACCGCATCAACCAGTTGCTCAACTCCTTTTGTGCACCGACGAAATTGGGCCCGTTGTCGGAGAACACACTTGATGGGTTGTCTCGTTTACCCACGAATCTCTGCCAGGCCATAAGAAAGGAGTCAGTCGACATGCTGCGTACGGTCTCTATATGACAGGCTCATGACTGTAGATAGGTCATCAGGAATCCTTACCGTTTCTCCATCGACGTCTTTCCTCTCACCCAAACATGGCCCGAAGTAGTTCACTTCAGTTTTGGCGAAGGGTCACCAACCCTGTTGTACTCGGTAACTTGGTAACGAGTGTAACAATCAAAAAGACTGAAAATTCTTCTCAATTACCTTGCATTACCTTATCTTTCTTCGCCATTCTATCGTGCATTCTTTCCGACAGTGGTTTTCATGCCGGCGAATTTCCTCTTCTTAACCTTCTATTTCAACTTTTTTACGGTGAAGCATATCTAATGGACACGCACTTCAAGGGCTTTGCTCTTTCATTTAAAAGGGATTCAGTGCTTTTTCTTTATTTCATTGCCACCAAAGTTTTAATTGGACGCTCGTTGTTGGACTAAAGGTTGCTTTCGGTTATATTTAACCCCTTTTGGCTGTAACGCTCAAGATTATTTTGCTTGATCTGTTGAAGCGTGCAAAAGTTTCCTATTGGTCCATAATTATCTGAAAGTTAATTTAAATCACTCGTTTTCTTATTTTATTACCGCAGATATTTTCTGTGAATATTTGTAACATTTTGATTGAATAGTGAATCAGGCTCACTATCAGAGGTATGACTGCCTTATGTGTTTGTGATTATTTCAAAAATAGTACCATAGATTATTTTTGGACCGACTTGGATCTCGATAATTTGAGCTACGCGTTTCTCTAAGATTTGTGTATCGCTATCAAGAATGAGCCGAGGGTCATTTGATTGAACGCTTACAGACGAGGTCCTTTTCGTTTCGCTCGGACTAAGACAATCGCGTTTTGGTCGTGACAGTACTCTGATATGCCCGTCACTCGGAAGATGAATATGACGAACAAGGACGTTGATGACGAACAGCGGGAATCCAACGACAACACTGGAGAATCTCGGCAAGTCCCTTTGCATAGTTTTTCTGTTCTTAGCTTAGCGTATATTTATTTGAACGAAGGAACGTCATCTGAGATAGAAAATGGAGCAGCAGATGAAAGAACTCCAAGAATGGCATAGAAGCGAACTGCTAGCGGTACGACAAGAATTGGAGACTGCAAGGCTCGCAGAGAAAATGGAGGATAAGTTGACCATCCGTTCTACCGTGAGCGAGG